TTAATAAAGGTATGTCTTATCTTAAGTAATTAAACTTGTAGTTTTAACTACATTTTGCAGGAGTTAAATCACTTTTTTGCCAGTTTTTGTGTAAACAACAAACAATTTTGGACCATAAAGGGAAAGGAATTTCTGTTATAATGGCTTCTCTAAGATTGTGAGCTCACCTGTGAAAAACATCTGTCTTTAGAGTTACTTAACTCAACCTGAATATATTAGGTGTCAATTATCAGGGCAGGAATTATACCACGTCCCAGCCAGTGCCGCAATACCTCTTCTAGAATTAACTACCCACACGGAGAGCGTGGCATTGCCCTGTTTGGAACAATAAATAATTTACACACCAAAGGAAGGTATCTGACTGACATGGTTTACTAAATCAAAGCCGACGTGCCTGCACATAAACACGCATTTTATTTTTTAGGTTTACGTCTGACCTGTGAGACCTGCTCTGTGTTTGTCCACTTTCACTCAGGTGAAGACACAGTAGCGCAGAAACTGTTTGCACATTTAAAGGCTGAAAATCAACCGGCGTGCTGCAGTATAAATACTTCATTACGAGCTCTTCCTCCTCTCCCTCACCTGATGAAGGTCTTGAAGGCAGCACTCTGAGGGTTGATGCACAGTGGCACTCGTTTGCCCTGCTGGTGCTCCGTGATGAAGCGATGGATTAACTCTGATGTTGGGACAGAGAAGCAGATCAGTAACACACAGAGGTAGAAAGGTCAGAGACTGATAACACGTCAGCGGTTCCTCCAGGAAACGTCTCCGTGGCGTCCTACCTTTTCCCTGCCACACAGACAGCAGGCTGTTCTCGTAGCTGTGGCTGAACGGCCGCTCGGCGACCGGCTCGAAGTCTCGGGTGTAAACTCTGCCGCTGGGCACAGAGTAGCAGCACTGACACATGCAGGTGTGGTAGCGCAGGCGGCCCTCGTCCAGGTACGGGTGGGAGAGGGCGTCGCTGCCGGAGATCCGTTTAGCCTGGAGGTAAACGCAGAGAGAGAGAGAGAGAGAGTTGCTAATGTGTGCTGATTTTTAGTCGTCCAGTTAAAATGTTAATGAAATCAGTTTGAACTCACAGGATCAAAGACCAACATCCGACAGAGCAGGTGCACCGCCTCGTGTGTGGCTCCGTCAGACAGCATGTAGAGCACCGACAGCGACGGCTGCAAAATAAAAGCATTATCTCATCAGTCGGTGTGAAGATCTGCTGCTGTACATTAAATATAAACCCGTCTGTTATCCAGTGACTCACTGTCCATTCATGTAATCTGTAAGTCAATATTGGTTTTCATTTGCAGCTGTTACTTTATGCAGATGTGACAGAAACATCATTTATTCATTAGTTATATTATAAAACTCAGCATGCAAGTTCCAGGAAACTCATTCCTCGTTAATTCACAGATTTTAAATTAATAAAGAGAAAGCACTGATATCAGTTCAATAATCAGTATTGGACAATAACCTCAGTTGAGATATCGTACATTTAATCCACAGTTTACAGTTTAAACTTATAACATATAATAACAATAAAAATGCTTTTGGTTTTCACAGAATTTATGTTTGTTTTTTATTGTTCATTTCTAGAATTGGTTGACAATGTAGCATAGAGGTTAATTATTTAACATGTTAAAGAACATCTAACTTTGATAATCTCAAGTTATGTAAGAAAGCAGCCTTTTGAATGCAACATTTGTCTTTAATTCAGCCTCTATATCAATAATCTGGGAATTTTTCCTTGTGAAATCGTCGTCAGTCGGGCTCCAATTATAATTAATGAGATTTAATTCCATTTAAAAAACACATCTGAAGGATTAGAGTCACTTTACTTGCTCTTCTATAGATTCTCATTTTTATTTGTATTCTTATTTTGGTTTTAAACATTTCTATCTTACTTATTTCAGATTTTCCTCTCTGATGATCACCAAAGCTCATCTTACCTGAGATCATGAGAATTATCACCACCATTGCATTTATTTATTTATCTATCTTATTTTTAAATTGCATTAGCTTGTTTTTTTCTGACCCTTAATGGACCTAAAGCTGCAGATTTGTCTCATGGCTTACTGCCCCCTGGTGGACATAAATCAATTAGTGTTTGTCTGAAACATCCTGATAAAACTACTAAATATTGATTTGGGCTTCAAGAATCCAATATTGATCAGGCTGCACCTGAAGCTAAAACAATCAAAGAACAGACTGTAAAGAGAAAGAAAGATGTAAGAATTCACTGACTACAGCTCCTCTAACAGAACAGATTATATTCAGGATATTTGGTCATTTTAATCTATTTCTAAGTGTTCTGAGTCTAATTTAATAAAATAACAACAGCAGGTTTGGATTCCAGTAACTGGTTTAAGTTTGGCTGCAGTTCAAATATCACACAAACAAAATCTCTAATTTAACCTTTTAGCTCTCAGCAGAACCTTTTGGTTGTTGTCTGGTCGATGTGTGATAGTCAGTGAGGTCACACAACTCTACGACTATATTCTTAATATTTGGAGCAATAAACCTGATAAATGAGGTTTAAAAGTAAGAATGCTCCAGCTGACACTCCGTTTCTGACGTTTAAAGCTGAACCTGTTTTACATTTGATAGAAGATGCTGAGCTCAAAGGGTTTTAGTGTTTCTGAACAGAATCCAGTGTTTCTGTTGGTAGTGCGGGTGGTGGGCAGACCACACAGTCACGTACCGGTTTGTGTGGCCCCCTCAGGATGTGGGCTCTGGCTCCTTCGCAGGCCGACGCCAGGGCCGACAGAGGAGGCGTTCCCAGCAGGTCCGTGATCAGATCCAGCTGGAACAGAACGGGAGGGAGGACGGAGAGTGAGTTAGAAAGAAAGTGGCGGAAGATCAGTGTAAAAATACTAAACAATAAGTCCTGTACAAAAGTTTCTGGTATACAGATCGTTAAAATACACACATCACTTTGATGCTACAGACCTTTAATAGGAGGAATGGTACATCTGCTCTGACGCTACGTAACTCGACTGAGTTTGGTGAAACAATGTTGGGTAAAACCGGTGATTATCAAACTAACTTTAGCCTGGTGTCACCTTAAAACATCTTTTCAGCTGTAAACTGAATGATCTGACTGTAATCTTCACATTACACATTCGCAAACAGAGTTAACTTCTGTTTTTCTGCTCCCCTAAAGTCAGGGTCCTTTGCAGGTCTCAGATGCAGTAATTTGTTGAGAGGCTTTAACGAAAAGGAACAAAACATTTAGAGGTCTTCCAGGTACAAAAGACATCCACTCTGACCCACCCAGCCGTCAGTAGCTACGGACGGGTGGAGGAGTTACCGTCACCTGGACTCACCTGCTGAATGGGACTTTGGGCTTGGAAGAGGATGCGTCGCCCCAGCAGCTCAGCAAAGATGCAGCCCACAGACCAGACGTCGATGGCCGAGCCGTAGTGTCGGCAGCCCATCAGCACCTCCGGCGCCCTGTAGTACTGCGTCACCACCTCCTGGGTCATGTGACGCGACGGGTCGGGCTCCTCCACCCGCGCCAAGCCGAAGTCACAAATCTAACACAAACACAAAATCACAAAAGGACAAATACTTGAATCAACAACCAGATTTGTGCCATCAGTGCAGCCTGAAGTGAACACACATGGATTACTGCTGCACACAACAGTTTAAAGCTTCATTCACAACACTCAAATTCAAGATCATAAATCTACATGTGAATGCTGCTCAGGTCGGGACTCGTACTAATATGCATTTCTCTCTCAGAAGAATTTAAGGTTTACCTTGAGCAGACAGTTGCTGTTGACCAGCAGGTTTCCAGGTTTAATGTCCCTGTGCAGAATCCCAGCAGAGTGCAGGTACTTCAACCCTGAGTGAGAAAACAACCAACACATTTGGTCTTTTATCTGCGTTCGTTCTCATTTTACAAAACTCTAAAACACATAGTTTCTCCAGTAATACATTTCAACTGCTTCTCCCTCAGTTTAGTCACTGTCATAGTTTAGTTGAGAAAAGCTTCAGATTGTATTTGAAGATGAAACAGAGAGCAGTCATGTTACACGCTACAAACACCAATCAACTGTCCACTCAGAGAGACATTCAGGTTTCAGGTGAGCTGTGGTAAATCAGAGTGCTGTTGGTGCAGCTTTTTAAATGTTAAACGTACAATGATTCATCAATCAGTTGGCTATTAAATTAATCTGCTACTGTGACGGTTATCGATTAATTAATTCTTGAGTCATTTTCTAAAGAAATGTGAATCTAATAATACTATTGATTAATAGTTTCAGTCTCGTGTCAAAAAACAAACAGCCATTGAGAGATGATAAATTATCGGTTGATATTATTAATAACTTATTTTGAATTCTTATTGATTGATAGGCTTTATTCTTACTATAAAAACTAAATGAACATCTTAGGAGTCAGAACTGTTTGTTGTTGTTGTGTAAACAACTGACGGATGGAATAAACCAATAAATATTTACTAGACTTTTGTTCCCCTCGCATGTGTAAAAACTACAGGTTATGAACTTCTTTTAAAAATACAAAAATGTGTAATTATCTATTATATCGCCTGAAAAAAAAAATCCATATCTTGCGTCCTTAGTTTTTCTTTGTCCTGTGTGATAATAAATTAAATATCTTTGGGTTTTATCTGCTAGTTGGACAAAATAATCAATCTGAAGACCTCACCTAAACATAATGTGATGGACCTTTTAATGAGAGTCATCTATAAAGAAAATAAACGTCGGTTGCAGCCCGTCACAAATATAAACACAGTTCCTCCCTACAACATAAACTACTGCTGAATCCATCCCTCGGCTCCGGCCCGCTCACCTCGGAGGATCTGATAGAGGAAGACCTTGATGTGGTCGGTGGTGAGAGGCTGAGGAGACACGATCACTTTGTGGAGGTCGCTCTGCATCAGTTCTGTTATCACGTAGCTGCGGGCGGTTGACTGTCAAGGAAACAACAAAAACAAAATAGCTGGCACGCAAACTGACCTCCGCCCACACGAACACGCTGCATCTCTGAGCGCAGGTCTCGCTTCAGGCTGTCAAACGAGTGTCAATAACAGACAGAGAGAGAGAGCATCGTGTCATCTACTCGCTTTAAATATGTCAACTAGTCGCATTAAATATTCATCAGTAGCCGGTCTCACATCTGCAGTGATGAGCTGCATTTAGAGACGAGTGGCTAAATTAAGTGAATAAAAAGGAGGACATTTCAGGGGCAATTAAAGGAAGAGAAACTGGGACAGAAGGTGTGAGGAAGCAAATGTATGTGCTGGCAGCGAACACCGTCTATATGGTGGTAATATTAGACCAAATGAAAGCTGATTCTTGCCGTTTTCCCCCCACATACATAAAAAGAAAGGATACATTTCTTCAAAGCAGTCGATTTGTGGAGGCTGTAAAATGTCCAGGGCTGACAGAACCTGCACAGAAACACAAAAACATTTAGTCGTGTTTTATCTGTAAAAATCCACATTGAACGGCTCACGTGGCCTTCGCCCGGCCCTTACGTTGTCATGTTTGAAGAAGCACAGCATCCTCAGCTCTCTGAAGACCCTCTTGCAGGAGACCAGGTTCTGGAAGACATTAGGCATCTTCTTCAAAGCCACCTTGCGGCCGTCACGTGGATCGGTAACCGACCTGCAAGACGTGGAGAGTCACAGTGAGCCGACAGCTCTCCTGAAGCATTACACAGTACGATCTGATCATCCATCAATCGTTTGAGGTAGTTTCAATGCACAGATACCAAACATCTGCTGGTTTGAGATGAACAAACGTGAGGGTTTGTCTTTGGATTATATCAAAGTAAACTGAATATATTTGGGTTCTGGACTGCTGGTGAGACTAAAGCATTTTAAAGACTTTTATTGGACCCTGGGGACAGAAGGTGATGCTGTAAATCTGATCGTAGGATCATTTACTTGCTTCCTTAATATTCTTTATTACATTTTCTTCCTGAATATTTTTCCTTCCAATATATCTGCTATCTTCATCTGTTATTAGAGGTACATATTACTCCACTTAGGGAAACTTATACAACTTAAACCATTGCAAATAAACCATAAAAAGAATGATTGGAACTAACTGACAGATTAGTCGGCCAATAATGGAAATGATCATTACATTATTATTAAAGTTTAGAATATTATTTAATATCTAAACTCTGAAGTCCTGAACACAGATTATATTCAGAGAGCTTCAGTCTAACAGACTCATCCTGCTTTAGAAAACAACCAGAGCTGATAGAACAATGAGAAACAGTGAATCGGACAAAAAAACAAGCCTGTTAAGTCTAAATGATAAAAATACAGACGGGATTGTAAAAAAAGTTCCTAAAACTTCTCCGATCAATTTTTACTGGAAACAATCTGCTCAAAATTCATGGTCAGTGCTGACAACCACATGTGACCACCTGCTTCCTGTCATATCAACACACTGATCAGATGAAATCAGAGGTTTTACACAATTTGACAATCAATAACAAACCTTTGTGGATTCAAGTTGTGTTATTTATGAGTGGAAATACTGTTTATATGGATAACTTGTTTAAAAGATAGTTTCAAGTCTCAGCAACACCAACATGGTCTCCTGATGAAACACAATCCAGAGTTTGGACAGAAAGACGATGAGATCGCGTCGTGTTCTCAGAGATTTAAATACGTTACGTTTTGATTATTGGATTAAATTTGCTCGTTTTAAAAGGCGACTCCCCGGGAACTCAGTGACCTTGTGGAGCATCCACAGGGAGCTGTATGGCGCCCTTCTATAAACCCTCGTTAGGACAAACAGCTTTTTCTGTTCGAGGATCAAAATGTGGAATTCTTTACCTACAGAACTCAAACTGGATCCTGAAGACGGATCCGTCATCAATGATCTGCTTAGTTTGTCTCTTGTGTATTTTAAAGCTTTAATAAACAATAAATAAAAACAGGAATTATTCTAACTTCACGGTGTCACTTAGAGTCTTGTTCAGCAGCCGTCTGAAACACCGGTGCGGTTCTTATTAATGTATATTTACCAGACGACACCGAATGCCCCATAGCCGATGGGCCGGTCTGGCTCCATCTCTGCGGGGCTGGGCACCTCGCTGGCCGGGTTGCTGTAGGGCTGAGGCACCGCCGCTCCTCCGCCGGCGCTCCCACCGAGAGCAGTGGGGTGGCGAGGGGTCCCGGCCGGGGCGGTGGGTCCGGTCAGGCACGGTGTGGCGCTGAGGCCCGTGGAGGGGGCTCCGCAGGAGGAGTTGACACAGAAATACTTGTGGCCCAGCTCAGAGCCCGGAAACAAGTCTCCACAGACGGTCTGCCGGCCGGCGCCGTGAAATGCCATCCTCCTCTCACCAAACCCCGAAACAGTCCACTCTGTCGGCACCAAGCTGCTGCTGCTGCCCGGCTACACGCACAGGAAACACGACTCCTCACTCAACATGATCCTAAAAATCAGAGCAAAGATTAACGTGGAAATACCTCAACTGCTTTATTAACATTATCAGTTCTCATTATTACTATTTATCCATTAAACTTGTGTCTGTCATACATTCAGTACAGATATTACCATTATACACAGATACTCCTTCTACAGTCTCCAGATTTATTATTGATTTTTATTTGCATTTTTACCTCATTTTTTTATTGATCTCTCTGTAAGTCCTATTTTTTAGAGCCTGGAGCTCTTTTATCTTTATCATGTTTGTTTACTGTTTGAGTTGTTTGTTGTTTATATATTTTTGCCAAGAGGAAGGCCTTATTGTCTTCTGTCTGGGTACAAATAAAGTGACCTTAAACCTTATTTCTATCCTCTATATGCTGTTTTATAATGTGCATACTTCAGACTCTTCCTATATTTGTCTATTGTCTATAGAAAATGTTGTTAGATATTTTAATATGCTTATTTTTAACATTCTCATTATTATTTCCATTTCTTTAATGTCTTATGAGCAGCTGTAACAATAAACAACCTCACAGCGGCTGGAAGGAACTAAAAAGATATTTCATGAAAAACTATTTTTGCTTTAGAAAATGTTGAATGTTTTCCACAATTTCCTGGAATTTAATGACCCAACATGATGAACTGATCCTGAACTGCTGATGGAGCTGCTTTACTTTGGTCTTATTTTTGTATTTTCCTCCTTTTTTCTATAAAATGTAAATTACAAACTAAATGACAATCACATTTGTATCTATTTTACTGTTTATCTTGTTTTTGTTTGTTTAAATGTTCAGATCATGTCTGTTACTGTTATTTACCTTTTTGTCTTCCTTGACAATAAAAAGGAGGAACATTATATAATTAATTATATAATTATAAGAAAACATTAAACACAATCTGAGCAGACACTTAAAAACGATTCACTGTATTAAACTGCATGAAAACACACTTTAAAATAAAAGTATTTGTTATTATTATTTTATTCTCTTATATTTATTGTGTAAAACTAATATTAAAGTAAATGCTGAATAAAATATAAATTATTTTAATGGTACAAAGTGAGTTTGTTGTCTATTTGTTATTAATAGAGGAAAAAACAGCGAATGTTTATTAATGCAGCTCAGATTTATCGTTACAAACATTAAAAGTCTTTATTATTTCGTCTCAAACTGTTAAATTAAAGAATTAATTGAGTTTAACTTTAATGAGCGTTAGCTTTGTTTGTAGCTCGCCGGGTCACTCAGCTAACGAGCTAACGATGCTTAGCGTCTCCAAAATATGAGAAAGTTAAATATTCCCGCGATGTAAACCTCAGTTAGTGAAGCTGCAGATTAATCCTCACTAACACAATCATATGCATCCACTTTATTGTCTTTCTGCTTTAAATTACTGCTTTAAAACAGATTCTGCCGTCGGACAAGCTGCTAGCTGCGGTGCTAACCAGCTGTTCCTGCTGAAACCTTCTGACCCACATAACAACCATCGGTTACACTGACCCACATAACCCACAAACAAAGCCTCACACACTCACTACTTATTTTAACAAACGTACGAACCGAGCTCGGTCAGATTAATGACGGTAATGCACGAAAACAACCGTCAAAAAGGGCCGAAGATCCTCGTTAGATGTCCGTCTGCGGAGCTGCCTCCTCCGGCTAGCTGCTGCTAGCTCTGGGCCGCTCGCTAGCTGCTCATCGCGTCGTAAAATCCTCGAAACAAACTGAATAAACTGATAAACGTGAACATAAAGAAGGTTTCTGCTGTTTGTGGACGAAAGAGGCTCATCCAGCAGACTGCGTGACTTCAAACCAGCGGGGTTTTACAGCGACAGATACAGATACAGATAGCTTCTGCAGGAGGAGGAGCTGGTGGAGAGAGTGGGGGAGGGTTGGTTCTCTAATCTGTTCCCTAAAGGTTCCCTAAACAGAGCTAACACTAAAGGTTCCCTAAACAGAGATAATACTAAAGGTTCCCTAAAGGTTCCCTAAACAGAGCTAATACTAAAGGTTCCCTAAACAGAGCTA